GGAGAGAAGCTATCAATAGACGCTGCTTGATCCATTTAAACTTTTTTTTACCTTTTTCGACAATTCTTCTTCATGTGTTATCTCTTCTCAATGAATGACATGAATGATTAAATTTCGCCTTTTCCTTATCATTCTCACAATGATTAGGTCCTTTCTCATACTATTCTGGAATATTATAAACCGCAGCTACCATATCATCAAACGTTCTAAACACTTTCCGTGATCCAACCAACCAACACAAAATTTGCATATACACATCCCTCTATACTCATGTAACATACGTCAATCTGACGTCAGAGTCATTTTCACAAGTTGAAAGCATGATGAGCGGTTGCATTCAAAACTTTCATTTCGTTCAACTCACTTCACTTCTCTCAAACATTTTCGTTTTATTTTTTTAATGTAAAAGGATGAATAAAAAAAAGTTTTCTTTTCTTCTGTGTGTTTCATTTCCTCGAATCTCTACAGAGAGAGAGAGAGAGACGTTATCCGTACTTACCTCTGTATCTCTCTACATCCGTCCCTCTCTATCTATCAGTATAAACATTGTTTTTTCATTCGTTTAGGTGTCTCATTAACATAATGAGCAATTGCTTAAGCTGTCGATTGATGTAAGATAGAGAGAGAGAGAGGGAGAGAGAGATAGAGATATCTATTGATGAGCTAAATCTTCTTTTGGCCAAGAACACATATCATTTGTCCTTTCGTGATTATGTTTTGACTTCATCTTCCTCGTATTTCAAATTTGTTTTTCTATTCATCCACCTATTATATCTATTCATTTTTAAACTTTTATGCATCAAAATGTATTGAAAACAATAAGAAAAATTTGAAAAAATCAGATGTTTCTGATAGAAAAGCTTCTTTCATCTCGTTTTTTCTGATTGTTTTGTCGTCAAATAAACTTAAATATAGTTAATTATACACAAATATCTCTCTCTCTCTATGTTACTCTCCCCCTCCCTCTCTATCTCTCTCTTTCTCTTTCTCTAACTCTCTGTTTCTTCCTCTCTTGTAAAAGACATCATACTTGATTCATTACCATATAGCCACACACACCCTCACCCTCTCTCTCTCTCTATCTCTCTCTCTATCTCTTTCAATACAAAATTTCATTTTTTTTCCACTTTTTCACTTCTTGTCAGCTTCTCATGATGAACGTTGAGTAACGAATTTCCAAACTTTTCCTTCTTTATCTTATCTTTTTTTTATTCAAATCTTCATAGTGGTTATCTTTGAAATTGCTTCGAACAACTATTTTGTCTGTCAAGGCGGAATGATTTTGAGAAATTTTCAATCATTTTCTCTCCTTTTTTGTTATTTTAATCTGTTGCCCTTTTCAGGATCTTTTATAAGTGCATAGAGAGAGAGAGAGAGGGAGGGATAAGAGGGAGAAGGGAGGGAGAGAGATACTATTGAGAGGGAGAGATAGAGGGATATGTATGTGTGTGTGTGTGTGCTTAGATTTGAATTATTAACTTCGACGAATGTTAATTAAACTGTTTTGTTGTGCAACAGCTTCAACTCTCAAGAAAAAGGGACAATTTGTTGATCCGACTTGTATAAATAGTCATTCAGAGATAAATGAGAGAGATAGAGAGGGAGGAGAGAGAGAGGGATATACAGAGAGAGGGATAGAGAGAGAGACATCTCTCACATATTCTAATTCTACTGAAATTAAAACACAAAAACCTTTTATCAAAGGGCTTTTCACAGAATCAGTTTTGAGTTTGCCGTTCTTTGTCTTTTCTTTTTGCGTTTTTTGTTTTATTTGTTGAGATTTTTGGAGACTTTTTCAGTTAGCATATCTCTCTTCTAAGACTCCTGAAGAGAGAGAGAGAATAAGGAATAGAGAGAGAGAGAGATAGAGAGGGAGGGATTGTAGAAGGAAAGATAAAGAGAGAGTGAAAGAGAATCTCATCATTGAAACTTTGTAGTTCATGTGTGCTGGCTCATACATGAGAAGAGAACAGTGTGCGTCATCACACAGCTTCCCTTTGATAAAAAAAAGTCTTTTAGAACATGTAAAGGCAATTGAGTAAGAGAGTCCTTAAAACAGTTTTTATCTTTGTTTTTACTCTCATCTCTCTCTTCTCTCTCTCTCTCTTATCAGAGAAAGGGAAAAAGTAATAACTGAAGTAATCAATGATCTCAAATCCATTCAGGATATTTTGAAAGAAGAAGCTTAACTCTCCGAAACTATTTCATCTCTCTCTCTCTCTCTCTCCCTCTCTATCGTCTTCCTCTTCTGTATCTCAAAGCAGACTGTTTTCCATTCTCGTCTAATCCTTCCTTTACTTAAATTAAAAAAATAAAAGAAAAATATTTGAGGTATTGTTTGAAAAAAAAATTATTTTTTTCGGTTGGTAGTGGTTCAGTTTGAAAAGTGATTCATATTGGTTGAGGTGATGATGACATGTTCCTTATTACGAAGAACTGTTATCTGCTGCCGAGATGCTTATCTAGAGCTTGTTTCCTGCTTGTTTTCAACTTCTCTTATCACTTCTATAGAAATACTTGTGGTTGTATGTCTGCTTTTGGGTAATATGTCCATAGGACTTACATATGGACATGCCTTCGTTTGACAACCCCCCACCGTTCTCCTCCCCCTCTTTGCCGCCGAATTGACTACCTGTTCTCTCGAACACAATATCTATGCCATGTCCTCCTCCAACCCACATAGATATATTGAATTATGTAAGATAAAAAGATTTATTCTAATTAATTCCATAATAGGTATAGATAGAAGAAAGATATAACGAAATGTAATTGGCTTATGATATGAGCAAATGAACAGCCGAGATGTCGTAGCTCTCTCATAGCAGCAGATAATTGGAGCTTTCGGTTGAAAGCATTTAGGTGTATGAGAGGAGTGAGTGAAGAAAGTGAATGAAATATTGTCAATTGAGCTCTGTACTACTAGAGAAGTGAAAATATATAAAAGATAGTTGAAGATAAAGAGAGTAATAGAGAAAAGATTAGTTGAAATAACGACTGTTAGAAGTCAGAGAATGAAAGACTTGCAGTCGAGCCCTGAATTCGCAGGTTCAGTGTATAAGCTTTACAACATTATAAAAATGGAGAGAACAGTGAAAAATAGACAGATAGATAGAGAGAGATAGTAAGAGAGAAAGAGATGGGGGAGACTGAACTGACGGCAAGGAGAAAACGACAACGACGACGAGACGACACGTAGTGAATCACTGGAAGGCAGGCGCTGGAATGGTGAATCAGCAAACACAGAAGAGCGCTACCCTCCTTTCTACCGGCAGACTGACAACCGCCTTCCGGACCATCATTGGCACCAAAGAGGTTCATCGAGAATCAGAAGCCATTCCGTCATTGGATGATATCAACGACCTTGACGCGGCACACACACATACACACAAGTAGCCTATGAATGGTAAAGAGAAGTGATAGAAGAAGTGATTTTAAAAGAAGAATGAGATAGACGAGATGCTGAGAGGTAATTCGTTTCTTTCGATTCCTTTTTATTATTATTTATTTAATTATTATATATGTATGTATATCTTCGTCTCTTGGCAGTTACAATCTTATATTCATCAGCTAATTGGCAATGAGTGTAGTCAGTCAGTCAGTCACATTCCGAACTGGCTGACGAACTGACTTGGAGAGGGGGGGAGAGACTGCCTGCTTGTCTATCTTTTCTATCTTTCCTATCTATCTATCTATATGTATGTGTATGTATGTGATGCTTGTGTATATGTATGTGAATGAGTGTGAGTATCAGTTTGGTGTTGTCTCTCTCTCTATCTCTCTCTCTCTCTCTCTCTCTCTCTCTCTCTCTCTCTCTCTCTCTTATTGTTTCCTTAGTCATTTAGTAAGGTAATAAGCAATGAGCTCAAAAAATAGTTCGCAATGATTGACTTCATTGAGTTTGTGAAAAAGTAACAGATGCTTTAGAAAAGGATTGTCTATGGCAGATAAGCAAGGCAATCATCTTTTACATTTTCAATTTTCATTTTCTGTTAACAACCCCACCATACGCAGTGTGTGTGTATGTGTGTGTGTGTGTGTGCGGCATAGCCTATTCTCGCCACCTCTGTGTGTTCCATCTCACATATCAAACTATGATTCGCGGAAGTATCCTTATGAATCAAAAAAAACAAAACAAAATAAGATTGAAAGAGAGTGTGTGTATGTGTGTGTGAGAGAGAGAGTTCACAAACAACATCATCTTTCAGTTTCTGTACTTTTCATTTCTTTCAAAAAATAGTTTTTTTTATTTATTTTTCATTAAATTGTCTGTGTAACTGGTTGCTATCGCTTTGCTCTTTTCTTATTCATTAAAAACTTCGTTTTTATATTCTTCGTTCATCATCGTCTTCTTCTTCGTCTTCGTCTTCTTCATCTTCTCTTTATTACAGATTGAAAGAAGAAAGTTATATTTATTATTATTATTACGAGTATATAAAGAATGATGAGCAGGGATATGGGGGAAGGTGTTTTCAACTCCCGCAAACAAGCACTTAGTTTGGATCTCAGGCCCACTCAATTACATTCGTCCATGACAATAAAGAGTTAGTTCATTCATTTATATAATATACATATAATATATATATATATATATTCTTATAACCCTCCTAATCGAATTAAAACCTTTTCATGATGATGATGATGCTGATGTACTAACTAACCATCTACCTCATCATATACTATCATCACCCCCCCCCTCTCTGTCTTTCCCTCTCTATCATCATTCATATATGATTTTTACTTTAAAATAACCTTTTTTTGACTCTCAATATATATTGATTCATCGAATTCTTTCAAAATTCATTAATCTTATTGATTTTCGGGTGGAAAAGAAGATTATGAGTTGTATCAAAAGCGTGACTGACTTCTCTCTCTCTCTCTCTCTCCTCTCTCTATCAATCCAAAAAAAATAATTTTTTTTGTTTCTTCTCCCATTTGTTACAACACAATTCTCAAATTAATTATTAATATTTTATTTTGAAAATTGTATGAAATCTAGTATTTGACGTTCATTTAAATGTGTCGTCGATGTGATCACATCATTGACATCGTCTCCTATCGACGTCGTCATGTTTCGTTCGTTGTCTTTTCACTCTCGAACAGAACAGCTTTCGTGTGGTTCTTCTTGTTGAGATGAGTCATGTTTGCCACAGATACATTACTACAAGTAGAAGGCAGGAAATGAAAGTTCAGAAAGAAGAGTTGTTAGAGAACTAGACATAGAGAGAGAAAGAGAGAGGCAGAGAGAAAGGGAAGTAACAAGAATAAGAACTTGCTAGAACAAAGCCACTTCTAAGGAAATCTGCAAACGTCCATCCATCCATCTGCAGACCCAACACAACCAAATCTTATCTCATCAAGTGATAACACACGTGAAGGGGACTGTTGTTTCATTTCTACTTCGAAGTCAAACCATCTATCTTCTCTTCTCACTCAAATGAATGTTCAAAGAAAAGATCTAAACGTCTTGTTTGCAATCATCAATCCATTTCATTCCATCTTCATAGAGCCGTATCTGATGTATTCACAAGGTTAAGCTCTATTGCAAAGGCATCGTCCTTTCTTGGTTTCTCACTATATTGATCTCAATGAACAAGCCGTTTCAACATTTTTTTGGCCGTCAACTTTCATTGAGGAGATTTCTGAACATGAGTCGATCGATGAATGACAAGAAAGTTGAAACGAAAAAAAAGAAGAAGAAGAAAGAAATGAAATAGTCTAACAACTGAAGAGAATCATAGAAAGGAGTATGTGTGTGTGTGTGTGTCTACGGACGAAGGTAAAAACAGGCAAAAATCGTAGAAACTTTTGGTTGCCAGCGTCAACGGAAGCAAATATGTGGATACTTGAGGACATAAAGATGCCGACACTTGAAAGTAAAAACTGACAGTTTTTTCATCTATTTTACTTCATCTTTCTGCTTCAATAACTATCTATTATACTTTGCAACTCAACTTCCTACTCTCCTCATATATAGATGTTCTAGAAGGAAGTTGTGAACAAACGGTTGATCTAATTAAAAGAACAGGGTTGACTGATAATCATTTCGATAAAAATGATAAAAATGCTGTCATTAACAAGAGAGTCAGAACGATTATGCACGTGAGCTGTTTGAAGGAATTTTACGAATTGAAGATCATTCGAAGCATTCGAATATCATAAAATTATCTTTTGATTACAGCTCAAACATCTTCTCCAAACCAATAGTAATCATTTTGATAATCATTTTGTTGACCTTTGTTCCACTATGCCATAGTCATAGGCTATTTCAACACAAATGATGACTTAACGGAACACTCTCACACTCTCTCTCTCTCTATCTCTTCTACCTTATAAGATACATTTCCCATCACGAAAAAGAGCATTCTGTTTATAGACCTTTAACTTTTTTTCTTTTTTTCTGTAAATAGTTCGAAAATCGTTTTGGCAAGCTGTGTCAATACTCCACGAATTGAAACCTTCCGGAACTACGTGGGCAGTCAGTTTTTCTTTTTTGTTAAAGTGACTGGAGATAGGGAGGCTAAAGTAACAAATGTGAATCATAAGATCATTTAAACAATTTCATTATTCTCACAAATGCCTAGAAGTCATTGAAATGATTACTCACACACAGACAGGGACATTAAAGCATAAGAGAAAGAGGGAGAGCTCACCATCAACACACCCATACATGACAACATGGCTTTTCCAATCATTTTGTTTCACACGAATCCCAGGTCGTTATGATGACGTTTTTTCAATATTGATGATACATGCGAATTTACTTTTTTTGTGATACAAAAATCAAATTGAAGTCTAGTCATCATCATTTCCTCTAATGATTCTTAATGCATTCTTCACTGTTTCATATGATTTTATATAAAAAATAATAAGAAACATCCATGAAGAAATGAAATATTCTAATGAAATTGAATGTTGAGAAAGCAAATGGCGATTTCGTCTGTTGCAGCTATTGATGTTGTCCACCAAACTACTCACTATATATTCCTTTCCTTCATTAATATTGAACAATAGAATGGGTGAGATAAGCTAGAATGGATTTCAACCAGATATGCTTGATCGCCACATTAAAAAAGGATAAGATAGCAATGAATATAAGCTTTAATATCTATCTTAATATAGTTAATTGGGGTAGATGATGAGAGATTTCGTTATTAACACATACAACCCAACATCTCTCATATACTCAATTCAATTCTGTACTTAATCTCATCTTATGCATTTCTCTCTGCTCATAGACATTCTAATGAGACTAGCTGACTGCAGTTTATCTGTTAATATTTGCAGGTCACTATTATATCAATGAATGAAAGATTAAATTATAAATTAATCTCACCAAGAGAGGGGGGTGGGCAAGTGGACGAACATAGAAAGGGACTAGAGGTTCACAAAGTTCGACACAGATTGAAATTGAAAGATTAAATACATATGTGAATAATTCAAATTTCGAAAAAAAACGAAAATGCTAACGAGAACAGCCGAATACATTTTTTTTTCATTCGAAAATTGAAAACTACGATCTCACGTAGTTTTCACGTAAATTACACTGTTTACAACTAACTTGCTAATTCTCCCGCCGTTATAATTTCAAATTCAAACTTCAAATATCATTTTATCCTTTTTTTTACAAAAAGTATTTCAGAAGAGGATGTTCGTGATAGAGGTTCGTAAGGATACAAGTTGGTTGTCAAGAGCAGCAAACAACTATCATAAGTATAATGATTATCAATCTAATGTGTTGCAGAAGCACAAGCGCAATATACGCAAGGATTTCTTGACGCCTTACGAAGTGTACATAATTTGAATAATTTTGATTTCGATTCCAAGAATGTGTTATACTCACCAAGTGACACCAATATGTTAAGTGAGATACTTACTCCAGGTCCTCAATTGCCTCCAACAACAGCCGGGTTTCTCATTTTATAATTAGTTTTATATTCTAACTTACATATTTCTAGTGAACTACAAGCCATTTTGTCAGCATTGGCTACTACTCCAAGCGTTCCACAAGCACAAAACTTCCAAGCTTCTTTTCCCGGCACAACAACACAGTTTTCCAATACATTTAATGTCCTACCTGGTACTTCCATGACTGCCTTGACAGCATCTCTTTCTCCTACAACCACAACATCGAGTGTCAATACACCTAAAATATCATCAGAAAACTTAGAAGCTCGCCTTCTTGCGTCTGTTTCTAATCTAGAATCCGATAGGATAGATACCAATGTCAGTTTGCTTTTGACATATAATTAAATAATAATGTTTTCGTACTTTAGATAGATATAAGAGGAGATCCATCAGAAGACTCAACTGATAATGCTTCAGAAAGATCACGATCATCTTCAGTAGCGTTATCGCACGGAAAGGATTACAAAGAGTAAATTTCCCTATAATTATTATTTTCTAAATTATGTTAAATAATATGGGGAAACGATCAGAGTTCTTTGGAGCTAGTAGAGCTACGAGCACGAAATAGTGTATGCACTTGATCAGTTCGAAGATAGTTCGAATCAAAGATTGACTGCCCTATGTGAATATTGGAATATCATATAAGGGATAATTAGATGGATTTTTGAGAGCAAAATGAAATGATTTCAACTTCCTGCCTCTGCTCACAACTTCTTAAAACTCTTTCTTGGTTTGGATGGAAGCCGAGTAGACCAGATAACAGACCTCTCTAACATGTGCAGTGACTCACAAAGTAGTCCTGTTGTTGTTAGATGGTTCGCAGCGTCTCTTCTCTATCAACCGGCTACTCTTATTTACAAAAATATTTTTTCAAGCTTCAAATTTGGATTCAGTTGACCAATATGATTTCTTTTTCCATTCATTAATTTTATTTTGTTCAATAATCTTTGCTGCTGTTGTTGTTGTGAAAACGTCTGCACACAGACACACACACACACACGCGCGCAGATCTTTTGACTTAGAACTTAGTTCTTGAAAGATTTGTAATATTTCTATCGAATATGATTACTGCAAAAGCTGAAATTGGATATTTCGTCATCAAGATTTATAGATCCTACTCATGCCTACTCATCTAACCATGATTCACAGCAGTTGTTGTTCGACACCTCTTTCTCTCTTTAACGCTTTCACCCTCTCTCTTTATTCCTTTTTCTCTTTAAATTTTCCATACTTTGCAAATGGTATGTGGTGTGTGTGTGTCGGTCGGCAATGCTCTCCCAGTCATAGTCGTCCCGACAACCGTCATCACATCCTTTCTTTCTAGTAAGCCCAAAAACTGTTGGGAAGCAAGATTGCCAACAGATGGCCCTCGATGACATTTCCATTTCAAATCCTTTTGCAAGTCTTCCATATTTCTTCGTCGTCGCGTATTATATTTTGTGCAATTCAACAATATTTACAGAGACAAACCATGAAAATACTTTCCAAGAAATTAAAACGGTAGGTATAAGCTTGTATGCTTCTTCATCCTAACGGGATTAACTCCGCTGGTATGCGTGCGTATGATTACCATCACTGGACTTCATCTCGCAATCCCTCTCTCTCTCTCACACACAAAAAACTGTTTCATTTCACAAACAACAGTGATAATTCTCTTTTACACTTCATAACCTACCATAACAATGGTCAAATTCGCTAAAGATTTTGGGGAAAAAAAGATTCTCTGACTAAAAAGCTGAATCATCCTCCATCTCTATGTGTCTGTCTTTATAAACAGGTCTCTAACTGTCTGGCACTCTCTTTCTTCTGTATATCCCTCGTTCATTTTCTTCTTTTTTTTGGGTCTGTGCCTTTCCCCCAAGTACGGTCAGAATCATTCTGCTCTTCTTTGCTTAGAATATCGTCTATATCATATTCCTAATCAATTATGTCATCTTCGAAAATGTTCGATAATTGGCCGACCAACTCATACTCATGGTGGCCTGGTCAGGTCCTGCCTACATGCCATTATCAGTAAGTTCCTCAAACAAATGAAAATCATCAAATTACTCATTTCATTCTTATTATCGAGAAGATGAGAAGAGACTATCATATTTATAATTCAAATGACTCAATTATGAGAAATTGAATGAAATGTAAACATCATCACGATATGTATCACCGTTAGCTTCGTTCTCACTCTGTCTAATATGTACATGTGCATCTACATCTTCGCCCTTTCAGCGTGTACACTTCTCGTCTTCTGATCATCCATCTAATCAATTAATATTCGAAAAATACGAATATTTGCTATAATTCGTATAGTCCTTCACTTTTGGAATCTTTCCCTGTATAACATGCCATAAATGGGAAAAGACTGTCTAGTGCTGTATGAATCATTGCTTGATCTATTCTTTTTCCCTTTTTAATCTTTTCCTTTATACTTTCCCCGTATGCTCTCATTCTCTCTTTTCTTCTCTTTCTCTCTCTTCCTCCTATGTTCGATCCTCTCCATCACAATGCTCTCTTCAGTGCCTTACAGTTGTGAGCTCATCATCTATCTGTCGGTATTCTCTTTTCTTTTTCTTTCATCACAACTTTTTGTTTGTGCATATTTACCTGTGAGATGAAGATGATGAATAAGACATGAGCAAATCGGTCCTTCTCTAAGAAAGAAAGAATCATCTAATCTCTCCTAAATCCTACAACTTCTCTCATTTTACCATCTTTTACTTGTTGCTTAATATCAGACGCTTGTCAAATAGAATTCGTTTGAAAGCATTAGTCATAAATCGCTATCGTTAACTCTCTTTCTCTCTCTCTTTCTCTCTCCGACCAAACCAAACTATTTCACATCTCTCTTCTCAACCTCCACATGTTTCCTTTTTTTCTCTTCATCACACGCAAAGGTGATGATTCATCATTCAAAAATATTCTCCTCCTCTTAACATGCATTTATTCAATTTCTTTTTATCTTTCTCTTTACACCTAACAGCTGCATTCTCCTTTTTATACAACTTGAGTATTTAAATTTCCTTCTGTTTCCACAACAAATACTTCTGATCATCAGATAGTTCCAACTTCCTTATTCCTCTCCCACCGTTCATCACACACTATTTCGAAACAATGTACGACATGGCACATTTCCAAACACACGAATGGTAAGTGAACGTGGACTTACTATCGCATACTACTGTCGGGGCTTCTGGCAATCCTTTCTGGGAATGTAATACACTATCTAGCCAATATACTTTTGATCGATCCGTTTCATATCCAAAACGTTACGATGGTTTGTAAAGAACAAACTCTATAACTTCCATTCACGATCAATGACGTCATTGTGATAGACAATATCGACATCGTCCAGCATCGTAAAAGCAAACCATAAAAATTGAAAAAAAAAGAAAACAAAATTCTAAGCGACCATTATTGGCAATTTTCCAGGATGTCGATTGATGACCAGGAGCAAAAGAAATTGGAACGAAAACGTGCTAGAAATCGAGCAGCAGCATCTAAATGTCGTCAAAAGAAAATGGATAAGATAGCTGAGCTTGAGACTCAAGTAAGTGATCAGCGCAATCTCTTGAAAAGATTTCGCAATATTGATGAACACTATATGACCGCTGTTTACAGGTGAGCTCTGAAAAACAACGCGGACATAATTTGGATGTTGAAATTCAACAATTGCGTGAAACGCTCGCGCAACTTGAGCATCTGTTGGACAGTCAGCGAATCCGTCGACCAGCTATTTAAACTATTCCACTATATTCCCTTTTTTTGCAAATTCGAATAAGTTGTGGATGACTAGCAGAGACCTCGACATCCAAGTGCAAAAACCTTCCTTCTATGATCTCGAAAGCTTTTGTTTTGTTCCTTCTCTTTGACCCCCCACTCAATGATGTTGTTTTACTGAATTTATCAAAAACAAATTGATTTATGATTTTGCCGTTAGCTAGAAATTCCTTATTTGATTAAGCGTGATTAGGTTTACATATAACAGAGAATACGCAGGGTGTAATGGAGGATTACCCTACTTATACGTAATTCTTACTTGCATTTAGTGCAGATTAGAGATGTGCGATACCTTCAAACAGAAATATGAAAATGGAGCAAATGAATGAAGCTGAAGTAAAGCTTTCCTCTTCCTATTTATTAATTTTCTCGTTACTTAATAAACTCTGAAGAACTATGTTTAGTCTATGATTTCTTAGATGATTACTTGTTCCTCCTCTTCCTCCACCTCCTACCTATCCTCCGTATTACTTGGAATATCATACATTTTTATCATTTTTTTTGCTTTTCCTCACAATTTCAGGTATACTTTGAATATATTTCTTAAAAGAATTTTATATGCCATTCTTCTTTCCTTCTTTGAAGTTTAACTGTGTTTGTCTCGCAATTGTTTTAAATTCTGAATAAACTTTTCCAAATGAATCAATAGATCTTACCTTGTTATGCTCAACTATGACAATGGTTTCCATTTACTATATATATAGGCAAATTGAAAGTACACGCACATGCAGCCGACAGGAATATCAGAGCAGACTGTCAGACAATTCTTCTCTGTGTGTGTGCAGCCGAATCGTATGTCAAATGTCGTCTGATCGGAAAGCAAAATTCATAAGAAACAACTGGTCAGTCAATTTTTGGCAATCTCAGCTCCAGATGTCAGACAGATCCAGTTTATTCCTGATCGGAAACATGACGCTAAACAAGAATTCAGAGATCCGGGCTATAAAAGACTGAGCCAAAGCATAATGAATATCGTTGATCAAACGGTTCCAATTAGAAATGATTCGTACATCTACTCTCATCTTGGCCACAACTTCTCTCTTTCTCTTAGCAGTTGTTCAAGCTGGGCCTTTACCCGTTAGTCTTGATTCCTCTTCAACAGCCATCGACACATTAGGAGAAACAAGGTATCATAATCCTAACTGTCAGGAACATTATCGATGTTTTCAGAGTGAAGCGACAGGGCGGTGGAGGCTGCGGGTGTTGTGGATGTGGATGCGGTTGCTGTGGTTGTGGAGGCGGTGGAGGAGGAGGATGTGGTTGCTGCTGTTGCCGTCCAAGGTAAGATTCATTAAGCTTTATCTCTTAAATAACGAATTAACAGATGCTGTTGTCGCCAGTGCTGTACTTGCTGTACCACTAGATGTTGTACATGTTGCCGTACATGTTGTCGTCCATGCTGTTGCGGTAATTCTGCTTTAACATTCTTAGATATGATTTGTTCCAGGATGCGGTTGTGGATGTGGATGCGGTGGTGGTGGACGTAAGAGAAGATCTCTTCAAAACCTCCGCATTAAGTTAGCCGACAAGATCGAAAGCGAAAGCCATGCTTCCCATGAAAACCAATCCGAGGAGAACAGCTCAGCCGAAGAGAAAAATATTGTAGGAAATTAAAACTTACATTCTCTCAACAAATAATTTATAGGAGAAGAGAGAAGTTATTCAAACATCTATTGGCGCAATCGTTGACGTACCCGAGTGGCCAAACGCATATGGATACTATTGAAGGGGGGTTAGGGCTTAGAAAACTTACGCTAGCATGCGCAATGCTTATCCGGAGCGGATATGAAAAGCTCTTATATTGATATTTCTTATTTAATTTAACTATCATAATTATATTGAGCTAGTGTTAATAAACGGTTGTTCCAATTCCATTTTTCATTTTGATCACATTTTTTGGTGGAACCGGTTGCAAGCGTTTCTGCCCACGTAGCCTCACGTGAAATCCACGTATCGCTGTAGTATAAATAGGTTTCACGTAAAAAATTTGACCACTTAGTGTCGTTTTCGGACATTGATCACATGGATCGAACCTCATCTAGAAGAGTTTCCATTTCAACCAAGACCAGAAGCCGGAGCCGTTCCGGATCAAAAACAAAACATACAACCAGGTAGGGAATCAAGCTATAATAACATCATAATAATATAGTATTCTTTTTAGCTTGCAAAAGACAGAGAGTTCCATGAACAAAAGCATGCAGTCTCGTTCTCGTTCTCGTTCAACAACCAGAAACAAATCTCGTGGTAGAAGACCTTCCGCTACCAAGAAGACTTCCCGATCAAGATCAAGATCTAATTCTGTTGGAACGTGAGTTGCTTTTTCGAGAATAGTTCAAGCTGTGATTATTTGTTTATTCAGTGCCAAAGAAATGAGTGTTGATGTATCAGCTTCTAGAATGGCTCCCAAAAGAGCTTCTACAACTGGAAGAAAATCTCGTTCAATGAAGAAAGCCAGATCAAACTCCAAAGATAGAGCATCAAGCAGCACATCTTCCGGAAAGTCAAGATCAAGCTCTAGATCTTCATCTCGTAAGCCGCGATCCGCTTCCCGAAAAGCCTCAGCTAGCCGCAAGTCACGATCAGCATCCCGCAAGCCAAGATCGACTTCTCGTAAGCCAAGATCGACCTCTCGCAAGCCAAGATCCACGTCTCGCAAAGCCTCTGCTACCCGCAAGTCAAGATCCACGTCTCGCAAGCCCAGATCCACCTCTCGCAAAGCCTCCGCTACCCGCAAGTCAAGATCCACTTCTCGCAAGCCCAGATCCACCTCTCGCAAGCCCAGATCCACCTCTCGCAAGTCAAGATCCACCTCTCGCAAGGCAAGATCAACTTCTCGCAATGCTTCCACTACCCGCAAAGCCTCCGCTACCCGCAAGCCAAGATCGACTTCTCGTAAGCCCAGATCAACTTCTCGTAAAGCTTCCGCTACCCGTGAAGCCTCCGCTACCCGCAAGCCAAGATCGACCTCTCGCAAGTCCAGATCGAATTCTCAAAGGTCTGGATCAGCCTCTCACAAGTCCAGATCTTCATCTCGCAAGCCAAGATCAACTTCCCGTAAGCCAAGATCGACCTCTCGCAAGCCAAGATCAACTTCCCGCAAAGCCTCCACTACCCGTAAAGCCTCCACTACTCGCAAAGCCTCCACCACCCGCAAATCGAGATCTGTCTCGAAACCAAGATCAACTTCCCGCAAGCCTCGTTCAGCTTCTCGCAAATCGAGATCAACATCTCGCAAACCGAGAATGAGCTCCTCGAAGACAAACGCTATGGTTGCTAGTGATGAGGACCAGTAAGTTTCTTGCAATCAACAACAAAGTTCACTCATGTCTTTCAGAACAAACATGACTCATACATCTATGAGCGGAAAACGCGCAAGCTCCAGAAGTTCACGATCGGTATCTCGCGAAAGTGATCAACAAGATAACCATATGCAACTCCGTCCCCGTCGTAACCGTGCTTAGAGCGAATAAATACTAACACGAATACTTAATCTAATAAACTCGTAAATATGCAAAACATTTTTATTTTATAATATAAATTGTAAACTATCACAGTAAAAGAATACGCGTTCAAAATTATGATCTTAGTTATGATGCACCAGTTTAGTAATATACAAAGTACAAATATACAAATGTCTAACCGAGTATGTACAATCTTTAAAGGTCTATTGTTGCTCCTTAAAGAATAATATTAGGAAATGACGCAATAGATTATCTTACCTTTAACTGGTTCAAGTACATCTGCCGTTTGCTTTCTATCATTTTCTGTGGGAAAGGATTCAAACTATTAAAAGCTATCTGTAATAAACAAATGTAGTTGTCAGTTCCAACTTGATAACGAACATTTGACAAACTTTTAAATTCTGTGATATACGTCGATGGTCTACTCAAACATGCATGAACAGTACCAATAGTTTTGCAGTTCAAAACGGCAGATTCACATTGCTTCAGAACCGCAAGAGCGAAACGGAACAAAACCTAAGAGTTCCAGTAGTTTACACCTACTAAAAGTGTTTGAATACCTTGTTTCCTTCGTACAAAAATATATCAAATATGCTAAGGTATATAGAGTGGGGCAAAACATCAACAAAGCAGGTGAGGAACCAAGGCAAAGTGAACAATGAAAGATCAACCTGAATGAAAAAGGATTGAAGAGAAAACTTTCGGAAACATTACCTCGGCAGATTTTAGATGAGTTGCTAGCTTGGGAAGTTTCTCAGCCACGAGATCTCGTAAAACCTAAGTAGAACGGTAAAAACTATCAGATTGAAGTCAACAACTTTTTGATCGGCAACAGCTCCATTCAATGGATTCGTATAATATCCTTCAGGCTGCAGATGCTCAACGCAAGCAACCATGAACCAGAACGCATCTTCTTCTTCCAGGTACAGCAATGCTATAGCAGCAAATCTGTTCAGGCCCTCAAAAAAGTAGATAACATGTTAAGATTCACCACTCGTTTTACTTGACAATACTGAACATCTTTGTTATGGTAGCGGAATGCATACAACACCCTCCTAAGCATTTCAATCTTGCTGGACTCCGAATCATCAAAATGTTTGTTATTAGGAAGGGTTCGTGCAAGATCCAGATCTATCTGAAAATAACGGAAAACATGAGAAGGAATTGGAAGACAAACCTGCTTAATAGCGTTGTCAAAAATACCTTCTTCTTTCTTCGAATTAGCTTTTTTCAACATGCAGTGGTAATATCCATTTCCTAGCTCAGCAATCTTGTCCTTCACCGATAACAAAACAAGGCTGAATAACAATTTGTACAATAACAGTCAGCTTTTGTACCATACCTTTTCCAAACTCTTCCACGATATGCCGGTGGTACTCCACTCCGAACTAAACTTTTGAGTTCTGGAGTTGCTGACAGTGACCGTCCTACCCAGTTCACTAGAAGACTATCCCATGCTTGAAGCCAAGTCATATAACTCTCGCTTTGTTCCTACAACGCATTTCATCATAAGGTCTGTCTGTATAAATGTATAAAAGAATACCAGACTAGTCGCTTTCACAATGTTATGAGATTTCTCCATGTAAAGAGCTGCAACATCTAATAAGTCTGAACTGGGAGAAGATTTGTGAGGCTGAAAGGGTAAATAGGCATCTGAGTCTGATAGCATTGACTAACAGGTGAAGATAAGTCTTTTCCATTAAGGTAGAACCCTAGGGTGTCAGTCTCATTTTGAGAGCTTTCTTTCGGAGTACGATTGGCTTCGTCCAATAGTTCTGTTAGAACACCAGGTTCCATAACTGGAAATCAAACAAGATACTTCTCAACAATTGCTAAGATTGAGTTACTTTTTCCTGGTTTTTCGGGAGACTTAAAATGATTCAACACCATGAGATATCGACTTTTCAACTGATAATAACAGGCTTCTACTTCGAAGTTCCTTTTGATTAGAGATCGTTCTCTGTTTTCCAGAGAACGGACTATTTCGTGCAAATCTGTATCTTGTATGTTCTTTTTTTTCTTTTAATATAGCTTTACCTATGATTTCTTGGTTCAAAAAGCTATTTTGAGATTTGTATCCCTCAACAAGGTCTTTTAGTTCGTTGATGTCATGTACACCGGCATCATCAAAAACCTGACCGAAAATGAAATTTTCAAATTACGCGGGAAAAAAACCTTTTGAGTTGCTTCGACGCACATAGCTGAATTGACGTCAATAAGAATGCCTTCCGGTACATCAACTACAAAGCGAATCGTTCATAAAGATTGTGAATTATCAGAAAAACAAACCATCGCCTAAAACTGCTATTTCTCCAATGTTTTCTTCGGATTTCTCTTCGCACATTCTCATGATCAGCTCTTCCTAAATCTGGTATACAAGGAAGCAAGCTGGTAACATGAAAAACCTTTGTACGCACAGAATCGCGGAAAGCTTCTACAGAAGAGGTCAAATCAGAAACTTTGTCTTCTAAATCTCTGTTCTCTACAGTCAGGAACTGCACCTGCCTATGCAAGCAGTTATTTTCCATTTGAAGATCAGTTACAGTCTTCTCTTTTTGTAAAAGAAAATCTTTCACAGAATTGTCACTCGGCATTTCTTCTAACTGTCTTCTGCAAAACAAAAAAGCATTGAAAAGGTCTTCAATGACTTTCATCATACAGTGTTTCCACTTGATTCTGAGCAGTGACTAAACCGTTCTTCAGAGTTTTGATCATGTCATTCAGAAGAGTAACATGGTCTTCAAGTTCTCTACAACGCATTCCTAATTCTTCTTCATTTTTCTGAGAGAAAAACTTATTCAATGTACATATATATATGTGAACTTACAGATTTTGCCTCTTCGCTGTCTCTTTTCATTTTGAAACTCTTACGAGCCATATCCATAGCTCGTTTAGGCACATCTACAAGGCTCTCATTGGTTTTATCCGCAATACGTTGGAGTACTGCTTCAGGACTGATAATCGCCTGAATTAAGATTTAAGAATGCAACAGAAGATTATTTATCTCACTTTTGGCATCTCCATACTATTTTCGTTCAGCTGACCATCTGGACTCAGATAAAACTTGGAGTAAGACCCAGGCGGACTTGCGACATCCGAAGTTTCTCCAGCAATCTAGTAATGAACAGATCATCCAGATATTTTGTGAATATAAACTTCTATAGGAGTTGAAGGTGTCTCAGATTCACAACTACTAGCTTGTGGTCCGAGGTAGTTGTTTATGAGTATGTCTGCCGCTCGCGATGGAAGAATTGGTAACTCAGCGTTCATATCCACATTCGAAGGTTGAGACGACAGAGAGCCGATTTCCTAAAACAACAAATAGTTTAGAACGAATCAGAATAGTTCAGAGTACAAGTTTGTCATCATTGGCTGTGCTAACTTTCCGACTTCGTTTTCTAGATTCTTGTAGGGATTTGATCCATTCATCACGCATCTTGTCTGAACTGGCTTCTAATACATGAATGTTATTGCCAGAACTTGAAAATAGATTGAGTAGCGTATATAGATCAATTCAAATCTACTGTATTTCAAATCTGCCTTTTTCTTGGGGGTTATAGGTGATTGCTGCTCCTGTCAAGCACAGTCTGCCTACAGCAGTGACGTCATCGCGTTCCTTAAAAGAACAAGTACGCATTACGAATCAAGACATTCAAACTACTTTAAACCAGTATAAGTAAGGAGATACATCAGCCAGAGCAAACCAATATCTCCTCCGAGAAACTCCGATAGCTCTAGTCTCAATCTATAACTTTCTCATCTTCATGGTTGGAAAAAATGTGTTGCCTTATGCAAATATGCCGTCATACATGTTCGACCAACTGTCAACCGAGGAGAAGTCTCCCCCATAAGCCTGCAAAGTTTCATAAAAAATAATAGAAAATCAGTAATGGCAGATAAAGGATTGTTCGAAACAGTTCGAGAGCAGTGAAAACGAGACAGACAAAAGGTTTTATTAACAGAGATCAAAAAAAATTTAAAACTATCATTATTATTCCAGACGATTATGACGTTGTTAAGACTTCACAAAGAGGGGTCTATAGCCCAGTTGTAGATATACAAAGTAAAAAATGCTGTTAGGAGGAGAATTTTTACCAACAGTCACAAGATATTCGATTGATCTTGTTGTCTTTTTATTCCAATCAGAGATATGGCTATCTTCCACATGACCACCCAGGGATCTACAATATCCAAATTCGGTTTGTTTTTGAAGCAATAGTTACTTGAGTCGTATATCATCGATGAGTTGTTCGTAGATTTGAATTATACTCAGAATATCCTTGACACAACTGCTTGATTTCGGCGAAGTCTATAAAACTCGATCCATACATAGGTCAACTGGATGGGCAAACCCAAGAGATAATCAATGTCTCCGTTTCACGGCAAATCAATTCTACTTCAGTGAAGTTCTCAGCAGAGTCTATTTTGATTAAGGTGAGATTAATCAAATGATTCAGCTATAACTAAGATGAGTAACCGAACTGATGTATTTCAACTCACCGTTAAATAGAACTGTTCTCTCATGACTCCCACAATTCTAGAGAGCTTATCGACGATGTATCGGAATCGACGTTTAGTTGGGACAGCTCTGGTTATTCCGCGGAAAGCTTGAATTGTCTGTATCAAAGTGAAATTCGCTTTACAACTCACTATCGTATTTTATGGACTCCAGCAGTTCCTTCATACGGAACAGTTTTAACCACAGTTCCAGAAATCCACTCATAGCATCAACCAGTGCTTTGCGGAACAACGAATCCAATGGAGGAGGAATCTACAATTCCTAATGTTTTACAAACTTCATTTGATGTACTCACAGTAGCACTGAACATCTTCGTTTTAAAGTTGAAATCCCAAAAACTAGTGCGTGATAATCCAGAGCTCCTAATGACTTGAGAGAACGAAATTTCCTAAACAACATGCATGAACGTCCATTTCAGAGAGTATCACAAACTTTTCGACCTGGTTTGTACAAATATTGAGCGAGAGTATCAGCGAACTTTCCAATGAGTAATATCTGAATATGTTAAACGTTTGAGAGAAACGGAAAGGGTACGTAACTCTCATGTCCTTGTAGAGGACATGCAACTGCCTATCTTTCGTCACCGCAAACAGTTCAGCAGACCACATATCAGAAATTTTCTTGGAAGAACGTAATAAGATTTCTCTGAACTCATCTACATTGAACAAGCTGCAAAACCAGTCAATCATTTTGCTGAGACGCTATACAAACTTATGTTCTTTGAAGTTGGATAGTGCAACCATTTCATCGTTGGCTGCATTTGTGAAGAATGGTTCACAATGTGATTTCACATTGAGCATTTTCCGGAATTTCAATGCACGAACCGTCTTAAAGAAACATCTAAGAAAGCTGATAAGATAAGTTTTCACCTCTGTTATCAACGGCAAACTCCATAATGTTAGACTCAAGTCTCCCGCTTTTCTAACGAAAATTTGGTTTGGTTCCGTGATTTCACTGAGTATACGTAAGCCATGATCACATCATCAACAGTAGCCTTACTTGAATAATATGGAATGATCAGTGAACCCGGAAGGAATAACCAATGAAGAAAAGACAAAATCAAAGAATCGGAACAAAGTCTTGAGAAATTGCTGTTGGACTTCTACGGCATAGGCAATCTCGAATTAAAAAACAACTGAAGAAGAGAGATAATGACTCACAGCTGGAGCAGAGGAATGAGCAAAAGAACCAGTAGAGTTGATAAGAATAAACCACGCATACTCCACCTTTCAATACGATAAACATAAAAGTAGCAAAAATGAAAAAAAAACTTCAATCCATTTCCACTTGTGGCCACTCTTGATGGGAGTTATGATGCAGTGAATCAGTTGTGCCTTTTCTCGCAGGGTTTTAGTTTCGACAGGTAGAGATTGTAGAGCTGAATGAAAGGAAGATGAGCCAACGAAGAAAATAAAGCTGAGTGCACCTAAGTTTTTCTTAGACAATTCATTGATCGAATTTTCGTAATCAACCAAAAAGCTTCTGATGACCGAGCATAGACACTGAATACAACCGATCTCTGCGAAAATTGAAACGAAAATGATTACTTGAATGAAAATCGGCGCGTTTTCAATAGCTTCCTGACGGTCCACAAAATTGATTATTTCTTCTAATTGTTGAACTAGGGGCAAAAACGAACTAACCATAGCTTCTAACTAAACAAACAAAATGACCCATAAGATTCACAGAGCTACCGTTTCGCTTTGTAAACACCCCAGGATCTCAGTCGATGAGAATGAGAATAACCTACTCATTACGATTTTGTCGTTCTGAATCAGGAATAAACGTTCTTAAATGAAAACGTTCGATATGTATATTATGATACAACTTCACCTTCCGAGTTATTCTGTTGGTGAAACGGACTACGAATGAACTTGAGCACATGGTAGACCAGAGACTCTGGACTCAGATCAAAGAAGCCTTGTCTTCAAGATTAAGATTCCAATAGAAATGTTGTTACAAATAGCATACCTCTCATCATATCTACAAAATATTTCTTTCTTGAGGACATTATCCCAATACTTCTTATTCGTGACGTTGTGTTCGGGTCTGATACTGTTACTTGTAGGAGGAGGCTCGTTGGATTCCCAACGAGCTGTTCCGTATCCTGAGTCCCTGCCTGTTTCCGGTTGATCTGCTTCGTTTTCGTTACCAATGTTATAAAATTGAAACTATAAAGAAGTTTTTACGTTTTCACAGAGTGCATTATAAACCTCTTCAGCTATCAGATCTATATCATATGGTATATCATCCTCATACAAATCATCATCCTAAAAACCTTGAAATAGCTTGGCAGGGAGAAGAAAACAGACCATTCTTCGATTTGACTCAGGAATACGGAATGATATGTACTGAGTTAAGTCTAAACACCAACTTTGGCCATTCGCTGGTTAATTCATTGAGATATTTTACAAAATGTAATTGATATACCAAGGAAAGCATGTGGAAAAGTAGGTTCATTCTAGTTATTAACATATCCACTCAGCAATGATAAAGTGCATTCGACAAACTAAGGATGAGTAACTGACTAGAAACGTAAAATGAAAAACTCAGAAGAAAACACAAATAGTCATGTGAAACTACCTCGGGATTCGCTAAACTCGCTAGACAACCTATATTAGGACATATTGCAGACAGGCCTCCGTGTTCAAAACGAATTTGTCGACATCATAATTAACAATCTCAATCTATACAATCATTACACTAAGCATTGGTCTATGGGGAAGGGGAATCTGTACGAAGGTAAGCCGAAGCGAACTGTTCGAGGTTGCAGAGTAGCAATGCGGTCTTTCCTCTGAAAAATATAAACATGAGAAATATACTTTGGTTAGAAACTCACTTGATGGTGGCTAAAGCTTTCACTGTTGCATCGACAACATCAATTTTTCTCTTGCTTTTGTCTAAATCATCTTTCATTTCTCGATGAACACCACCCACGGTAGTTTTCAGACCATCGAACACTTGGTTCATCTCTCTGTAACAACCAAAGGAATGGGAAGATGAAACAATCATTACTCACCTTACTGCCTGGATTTCGCAGTGGGAAATATGGGCTGCAGCAACCTGTATATTCTCAAGTTTACTCATCAAGTTATATGACTGTTACCTGTTTCATTCTAGCAGCCAAATGAGATCTGAACTGTTCTTTGAAGTGTTGTTCTTTCGCACTAGAATTCCATCGTAGTCGCTCCAAGGCATATAAACCTCCATAAGCAGCTGCACCGACTGCAATCACCTACAAAACCAATTTGACGTTCGATCAATAAGTGACACTAACCCTCCATCCGACAGCTTTGTAAACAACTCCACAAACAACCATCACTCCTAGACTTCCATTAGCCAAGTACGCAGCTGAACTGAGTACCATTTGTGTCATAACAGCGTTTTCTTCAGCGGCCAAGTACGCTTGATCGGCAGCTTCATCACCATTTCCAGTTTTATGCTAAATCAGATCGAGAACGATGATTATGATGGAGAAATCAATACAAGTTTCAGTGGTGTGAGTAAGTTAGTTTGAATGGCTGTTACTGGTTGTCCCGATCTATAAGCCACAATTCTACGAATGATTGAGGACAATCCAAAAGTGAAACGGAATTCAAGATCCTCATGGAAATCCCTGAAAAAGAAATGGCTATTGTAAGTATGAGTTATAGATTCGAACTGAATGAGAGCGGGAGCGTCAACGCAGATGGAGAACTTGAATGGGGCACGGTAACGCCATACTTCTTCAAGCTTATGTTGATATGGCTCTGAGAGAATTTTTTTCACGTAATCTGAATCTTACAGTTCAAAGAATGAAAGATATGAGGATACACATACGGAACATATCATTCTCTAGGTTCCAGATTCGCGACATGAGCCCACCAGTACAACGAGCTTCCAGATCAGCGTTCACAGAATTATTAGTGAATATTGACAAGCTCTATAAAACGGTAAGTATGGAATGACCAAGGTTGTTCAACCAACTTCCTTATACTCTCTTATTCCCTCAGCACTATCAACGAAAGGTTGATTGAACCTATCAATGATAGCCTCTAGTCTTAAGATTTCCTCTGCGAAATCAGCGGATACTTTCAGATGAACTTCTGCTCTCAAGTGCTCGGTTTGTTCCAAATATGCTGTTTCAAATAAAGAAAAATTCTTACGACAATCGTTGAAGACTTGAGAGGCAGCCTGTATAGTTGTATAAGGGTTTGAAATGGCTGCAGCGTCATACCTTGAGATCGTCTTCATACTTGATCTTCTGGTCATTTACTCGGCGTTGTGCTTGGTCAACATTCTCTCTCATTCTTTGAATGATTTCGAATGCTCTCCTTTTGTGAGCTTCAAACTTTGATAAAATTGCAGATCTAGACATTACATGTTAATCAACAACGTGATCCTCTCTTGCTTACCTTGATATACATTGTTCGAAGTTTTTCTCAAAGTTTTCAAACTCCAATAAGCGTTCCCGAGAACCAGAAGCTTGATAAGCCTTTTGTGTTAAACCTTTCTCTTTCAATCTCGCTTCGAGAACCTAAGAGAGAAACATGAAAACGACTACATCAGCCGAGGATATACTTCACGAGATGAGACAAAGTAAATGCGATTATTAACTTCCTTTTCAGTACAAACTTCCAACTCATTTACTAAGAATTGTCTGAATCTGTTCTGATGCTGCTTTTTGACCTACAAAACCGAAGTTTCATTTGGGAGAAAGAAACTGGAAACTACCTCTTCTACATCATCCTCCGAAGCACTAGCGTCCCATCTATTGTTCAAAATGAAAATGTTGGGTTTACTTAACTTTTTTGCGACACGGTAGAAGAAATTTTTCTCCTGAAACAGTGGATTCACATTGATATGTGTGAGAGGAATGGAACTGACGGCTTGTGTAAGTGTCGATTCAGCATTCAAAACTAAAACAAAAACGTCGGCATCCAGACAATGTTTATCAATCCAACTATCAAATTCGGGCGACAAATCAACTCCCGGACTAAACAATTCTGAATAATCGTTTCGAACAGTAAAATTTTCAAACCTGTCAAGCAACACAACATCGTTTTGTAGCAGTCTGTTCTCATTCGAATCTCCATCTCCGATAGGGTGATAAATGCTGAACGATGTTATAGTTGATACTTAAACTCCGTTATTACCGTAAAAGCGAGTCTTGTCCCATTTCAGGCACTTCAGAGTTCTCACTGCTCATTGCATGACCCATTTTGCCCAATTCTTTGATATCTATTCTACTTGGATCATCTCCCAAGATCATATAGCCATCTCCTTCTCTGCACCCTTGTACCTACAATCAACACAGGCTATGATAGCATAATCGCACAACGACAGTACCTGGAGGAAGCAGCATGTTGTATGCCCCATTCCTTGAGGCAAAACTTTATTATGAAGCATAGCATTAATGGTTGTGCTCTTGCCATTACTTGTTCTGATAAAGCAAAACTACATGTAACCTTCTCGTCTGAGCCATCATACCTTCCAAAAAACACAACTTTCATGTTATCGCGACTAAATGTTTCAGTTATTGTTTGAATAGATTCTTTCAAGATAGCGATCTCTTCTTCTTGGTCCTTAGGAATCACATCAGTGCTATCTGTGGAAATCCCTCAAACCAATAATGTAATTTCAGTTAATCAGTGAGAAATAACCTTTGTAAACGCTTTTCAATTCATCTACATGATCACCCAAATCGGTATAAATTTCTCCGAGCACTTTTTTTGCCTCCTTGAAACGAAGCAATGGTTCATCACCATTTAACCTGCGGGTTGGTTTACCCGACACTACAATTCAAATTAATGTACAAGTACAGCAAATGGAAACTTACAGGTCATATGAGCTCTAGAGTAGTCAGTATTCTGAGTTTGAGGCATATAGGCACTCATTATCCGATCATAAAACCTAAAGGAAAAAATAGATTGGACTATATGTATGTTTGAATACAACGAAATAGAACAAATTATGCGAACTAAAGACTTCTTGTAAATATTAAAATTTTCGAGTGGTACGTGAGTTGGCGTCAAATTGACAGTGGGGTCAAGAATGTTGAATCATTCTAACTTGGTTAGAAACAGCTTTTCTTCGTTGAGCTTGAACGTTCTTTGAAACTTTTTTTTCAGGAAGTTTCAATTTCAATTCTTTTTTTGTTACAACTTGTAAGTAAAATTTATTTTCTACCTCGGCCAACCTCTTTCTGTGATTTGTCTAGTCTCATTGCTATCCACCTCTTCTAGCATGAACAACCGCTTACTCATCGTTTCTGTCTTAAAATAAAATACGTTCCTCATGTTCATTCCCCTTCATGTTTGAAACTGCGCGGTCGTTCATATGACATCTTATGGTTGAGGTATGATGGGCCTGTTCGGAAAAAAGAAGGATCCGAAGGAGCAAGTTAGAGAGCTCCAGAGGAAAATGAGGCAGGAGATGAGAACCTTAGATAGACAAATCCATGGAATCCAAAGAGAAGAGATGAAGGTTCAACGGTTCTTCGTGTTTGGTGATAGATAAGCGGAATTTCAGGTAACAAAAGAAATAAAAGAAGCTGCGAAGAAAGGCGATAGAGAAGTGTGTACAGTTTTGGCAAAGTCTCTCATACAGTCCAAAAAGGTATGTTTCACGTTCACACTGGTATTTCAACTGTTTGACTTGTTTAGGCCATTTCCAAGATTCATGTGAGTAAAGCTCAGATAAACAGTGTTATAATGTGTATGCAAGAACAACTAGTGACTATTAGAATGGCTGGTTCCCTTCAAAAATCAACGGAAGTGATGAGAAGTATGCAGAACCTTGTTAAGGTTGGGCGGTTTTGGAAATTTTTATGTACTGATCTCGTTTACAGGTGCCTGAAATAATGAAAACAATGAGAGAAATGTCTGCTGAGATGACCAAACTAGGGATTATTGATGAGATGATCGAGGATACCATGCAGAGTCTGGAACCTGAAGGCCTCAACGAAGAAGCTAACGTCAGTTTCAGTTTCCTTTTCTCTCACATCATTCAATTTAGGAAGAGGTCGACAAAATTCTTTGGGAGATCACAGCAGGAGAATTGGGTAAAGCTCCTGTTGCCGCTTCTCATCCGCTGGTTGACGGACCTGAAACTGAGCAGAACGAGGAATTCGAAGCGATGACGAGGCGATTAGCCGAACTACGGGAATAGAAGCAAGTCTTCTGATGTATTCATGTATCATACTTGTCTTGATGCAATCTAAACAATAAATGTATCACACTAAGAAGTTAGTATCTTTACCATCCCCCTTCCCTTCTATCCCACTTCCTGCATCATCTTTTTCTATTCATTTATTCCTCTAACATGTTGAACTAAGTTATTCTCAAATGCTTCTGAGCCATTCTTAACAAGGAATTCAATGATAACCAATTTATGTGAAGCAGACATAACAGTGTTATTTTAACTCCCAATCATATCACTAACTGACATCTCGACATTGATGCATACCCTTTGTTCTGCTGAGTGTTAGGCCCATCAATCAATGATCGAGTATGTACATCCCCTACCCAATTCACCGGATGTGACTTCTCGAGAATTCTGTCAATCAAATGGCAAACTAAATATCATTTGAACCTCGCCCTTAAGATTTTCATGTTCTTCGATTTGTGTGATATCTTCCACCTCTCCATCCTATTGATCCGTATTCATACTCCTGCTAATACAAGAAGAACACTTTAATTATCTTCAGAGATTGCACAAGAGAATTTACAGCTTGAGAGTATCATTTTCAAGACTAGCTACTGATTAGGAGCCGATTCAGTTAACTCAATGTTCTCGACTGGATACGCAAGCGTAGCATGAAAAAGTGGGCGTGACCCTCAGCAAAATCTTGTCGAGGTTATTTTTTTTTGACTGCAGGTGGATGTGAATTTTGGGTAATCCTACTGCTATTATTAGGATCGAGAACAGTTGCAGTTTTGAGTTAGGCAAGAAACCGTTCTCTGTACTAAGTACACTGTCTTTCATACTTCTTATGATGACTGAATGTTTTCCCTTTGAGCTTTGTGACCATTCTCAATTCGTTACTTGCTTTTCCTTATACCTCGCTTCATTACTCCCTTTTTTGATTATTCCATCAGTTCAGTTATCATGGTAGTCTACGCTGTTGCCAATGGTTTCAAAACTGGTGTATTCAAGAAATGGGATGAAGCTAAGAAGAATGTATGTATGTGCTCTGTATACTTCATATGAGTGTGCTCAGATCGATGACTTCCCTCAACCAGTCTATAAGAAGTTCGAAACAGAAGAAGAGGCTAATGAATTTCTGGAACAGAGAACACCACGCACTGTTCAAGGTATTCATGTAACAAGTTTATTCATTCTTGGTTAAACTTCAGAAAACTTTCCCGAAGAGGATGATTTCAAAACTTTCTACACAGTAGCTAGAGGTTATGACATTGGCATCTTCGGCGATTATAAATCGGTGGAAAAATCTGTAAATCACTGGGGTTCTTCTGTTCTATGTCTCTATTCGTAGATCAAGGACTACCCACAACCCTTGCATAAGAAGTTCACCAAGTTAGATGAAGCTATCGCTTATTACAATCGATTTCAAAAGGGAATAGGAGGTTGGGTGACAGTTCATAACTTGGTAACTTCCTGTCTCATCTAGCTGAGACAACTTCTCCCAAAACAGTTAAAAAGAACGCTGTAAAAGAAGAGAAAGCAAAGGCGTACTATGCCGTTGCTCGTGGTCACAAGACTGGAGTGTGAGTGCAGTTTTCATTAGCATTTCGAAATATCTGTTGAAGCTATCTTACTTGGGAAGAATGCAAACAGCAGACAACTGATTTCAAAGGCGCTAAGTTTAAAAAGTTTGATAATGAAGGCGACGCCCAGTTATTCGCTGAAGGAAAGACTCTAAAGCAGATAGGTTAGTCTTCGTTTTTGAGAGAAAATCTCCATCTCGACTTATTGAAGAGGAAGCGAAAGCTCCTAAGAGAAAGTCAACTGGTGATGATGGCCAAGACGAAGAACCTGAAGTTAAGAAGTCAGCATAATATTCTTATTTGTATGTTCAGTTATTAATAAATAGTTTTTTTTTCGTTTGTGTCACATGACAGAGTTTGGTATGTCCCATCCTTACCGTATACGCTTTGAGTCGATATAAAAAATCACTCTTGTTTAAGCGAATGAGCAAAGAAGCCTACTACGCTGTTGCACGAGGCCGTAATGTTGGCATCTACAGTACGTGGGATATGTGCAAGGTGCAAGTCGATGGGTTCAACAATGCGAGGTAAATTCTTCCTAGTTTTCCTTGAAATGTAGGCTGGTATGCAAACGAAGAAACAATTTAGATATAAAAAGTTTGCAAGCATAAGTGAAGCTGCTGCTTTCGTTGATTCAAACAAAGAAAGTAGTGCTCCTGCTCCACATACCGCTAAAGCAAGTTCTTCCTCCAATGGTGGAAGTCGCAACTCTAGCAATAGAGGTACTACTTCCTCTCATATTAGGAGTAGCAACTATAACGTTGGAAGTAATTCTTCTAAATTAAGTAACCAAAGGGGGGCCTCATCTTCTTCTCTCCGTGAGATATAGTTCTTAATACTAACTGGTCTTCATTTTTCCAGGTACGGTCGGCAAACGAAGTTACGCAGTGGCGAATAGTAATGACGACAGTGGAGACGAGGATTATGCACATCCGGCTAAAAGGACCAACATGTATTGCTTTTTCGTTACAATTCCAATTTAATCATTCAAATAGCAAAACGAAGCAACCTTCTTCGGCCTCTCGCTCGAACTGCCCTGTTGTCTACACAGATGGTGCTTGTTCCTCAAATGGTAGACATGGAGCTAAGGTGCTTTGCTTTTTTGAATCAGATTAGTATGATGCTTTTCTAGGCTGGTTGGGGAGTTTATTGGGGTGACGGTCATCCGGATAACAGTTGTGGACCTGTCGATGGATCAGCTACCAATAACCGCGGAGAACTGCAAGCAGTGGCCAAAGCGATTGAGAAGGTTTCTCTAAATTATGGTTCCAATATAGAACTTTCCATAGGCTAGAGATTCCAATGTGAAGGAAATGATCATCAGAACCGATTCTCAGCTCTGTATAAACTCATGCGACACGTGGATTAATAAATGGGAGAGGTTTGTCATCTTGTTTTCATTTGGCAACAGCTTCTGTGACAGGAATGGATGGAAAACTACTACGGGAGATGTAAAGAACAAAGATTTGCTTGTCCAAATTCAAAACCTTCGGAAAAACGTAAATGTGAGATTCATGAATTTTGTTCGAAGTAGTCATATTCACTCTTATCAGGTCCATTTCGAAAAAGTGAAAGCGCATTGTGGAGAACCAGGTAATGAAGCTGCGGATGAACTTGCTCGCAAAGGCGCAGAATCGTATAGAAACTGAGCTCTGATGGGTACTGGTATAATAGATTTTTTCTTTCCTTACTTATAAAGCTGGGTTTCTTCGTATAAATTGTTTTTGTTTGTGCACCGGTATATGTTAGAGAATGACAATGAAGTATAAGCATGTCTCGTCTTTTGTTTTCGTTCGAACAACCCTTGTCTTGGTTTCTCATACTTTCTACAAACCCAACATCTTACACATGCTTTTACACAGCAATGATTCGCCCTCTACTGAGAAGATGTTCCACCAAACCATCCTCTAATGAACCATCGATTCAAGAAGCGCTAGACTACTTAAGAAACAAAATTAGGGAAGGGCCACATGATGAGGAAGAGAAGAAAAGTATTCTCCGAAGGCGCTCCTGGGCTCTGTGAGCGACGTCCCTGCGAAAAATCAACATGTATTTTTATGTTCAGTGCTCCATCTGTTTTAGCTCTCTCGAAAAAGACACCTCCGTCAGTCACTTTAGTTTGGCCGAAGTTCCCTCGGCGGTAGGGAGATACGGAAATACTTGAACTACTGTTCTATTTAAGAAATGTTATCATCTCTCTGTCGTCGTATAACTATTACTCAGCTGAAGTTCTAGCTGTGCTTTATTCTCTAGTTTTAGTAAGCCAGTGCTCTTCGTTCCATGACAGAATTATTATTGTAGAGTGTGTATTGCAAAGATGAAACGCTGAAAATCTATTCAGGGAATGAAACAGTCGTTCGCGTAGGTAATGGTCTGAACAAGCCAACTAAAGAACGTAAGAATTTGGACAAAATCCGATCTTGTGTTTTGACGGACGATGGCTCAAAGTCGGTACAAGCACAACTCATCTTACTGACTGATGAATATTTGAAATTTTTCAAAATTAACCCTAACAACTTATCAGACCTTCCGTTCAAATACTGTACTGAAGAAGAGTTTCGTGAAGAGCTCGGGTCAGCTCTTGTTCGTATATAAAGGTTCTTTGACTTCAGTTCTATTATCACAAAACAGTTCTCTAACTGATATTATTTGGTTGTTTGATTGAAATTGTTTTCTTAGACTCAATCAATAGATGCTTCTCAGCTGTCTGAGGTTCGATCTACCCAAGCTCACTCGCGTCTCATCTTGTTGTCTTTCGGATTTACCCAGCTCCAGGTAAGCCGTGTTAAGGTTTATCCAGATATCCAAGTTTTCCAGCACCGAACAAGCATTTTGCACGGGGTATTCTTTTGTTAGGAAAGATGGCTCAAAATGTTCTAAATATGGCGTTTATTTTGGAGAAAACGACTCTCGGAACTGCTTGGCAACTCTAGGAGCTAGGTATACGTTTGTCGGAGCCATGATACAATCTTTGATAAGAGCTGTTCGGGCGGTCAGTTGTTTGATAGCCTTCAAATTTGGGAACATCCATTTTCAGTCACATCCTGGGAAGAATCTCCACATAAAGTCAGATTTCCAAGTGCATGGCGAGTTCAAAGCCAATTTAGAGAGCTTATACAACCGAAACTTCATATTGGCAAATGGCAAACAAGTCCCAAACGCTAAGCTACTGAAGGAGCTTTATCTTAACCTGATTAATAAGAATGTTCGAATGCTCAATATTCACCAGTTATATTAATTCTAAATTCAGGTTACTTTCGAACATGTACCCACAGTAACACCGGATCGCCAGAAAAACTACGTGACCGAGCTCATCATAAACGATGATAACTATAGACATAGCCAGCAAAGTTTGCAAATGCCCAAGCTCACTAATGTTCAGCCGGACACTGTGTATGATTCTTTCGGGAAATATGTACACCACACTGTGAAATGGCCTGAGTGTTTTGTTGGAGGGAAATTCGTGAAGAGAATGAATGGTATGACATGCTGAACAGTGCAGTGAGAGGATTTAGCTTTAGGCTACTTAGCTGCATCATATACGACTTATTGGCCTGCAGGTCAATGTAAAAGCATCCCTCGTAGGCTCTCTCTCTTTCCCATCACACAATTCCGAGCAGATCTATGTGCTATCGAATCAGCTTTAAATGAGGTGAGTGATGGTAGCGCTTTTCCAGTTGAAAAATACGTGTAGGCTTATGATAATGGGCTGAGTGAAGTTCTGATCAGCATGAAAACGCCTTTCTTCATACATTGTTTGCAAAATGAGTGAGTAAATTTAAAAAAAAGAGAAAATGATAGTATCTGTTAAGCTGGAAAAATGAGGTGAAGAATGACCTTCCCAACAAATTCTTGTATCAGCGGATATCCGACTTCGTTAGCAAAAGGAAGATGGTGGGTCTGCTTACAGCTTCATCAAACATTTTGAATATCAGCATGTTCGATATAAATATGTTGTGCCTGACGATGAAGACAGTCATTGGAAGATCGTCTCCGAATTATGCGAAGAAGGCTTATCATTCCCTGTAACAGCGAAAGACCGAGAAGAATACAAGTGGACTCTCGAGGACATAACGAATGATGTTGAAATAGGAACCAGAGTGTAATTTGGATTTGAATACCGAGAACTGTTAATTCATATTCTAGGGCCTTACGAGCTCGAGTCTTCAGACATGGCACAAAACTATTTCCAGGTACCGTATATGATAAGGTGTACTATTTTCTCAGAAACACATGAACAGGGTTTGTTTCAGGTTAACTCTGATGAAGCACCATCATTCATACCTTACGCTAGACAGAGCATACCTGATCTTCTACTTGAAATCATGAACAGGGTAAGAGAAGAGTCAGAGAGAGAATAATTTGATTAGTATAAATCCATTTAACAGGCTATAAAAGAAAACGAAAAGTACGTTGTCATTCGAACAGATTCCGCAACGATGATCAAGTCTTTGAAATCTTGGATGCCAGTGTGGAAAAGAAACGGGTGGAGGAATAGACTACATAAACCCATAAAAGACGATGAGAAATGGTGCGAAATCTTCAAGCTCAACGACAAACTCATGGTCTGTTTTCGTACTTGTATGAGAGCAAAAAGCATGTTCAATAGATACGGACCGAGTATATGGAGAACTTAGACGACGAAGACGTGAAGATGGAGGCGAAACTCCGCGAGGTTGGAAAAAATAAGGAAAGGAAACCCAGGACTAAGAAACCGAAAACGATGCCGGGAGAAATGTCTGAAGAAAAAAAGGAAAGCGATCATCTCAACATCTGAATTGAATACAACCGCTTCTACTATCTTTGAAAATGAAAATTGTTTTCTGGTTGTTTTCTTCTTAAATTTCTCTTCTAAAGGCAGCTTTATACATGAGTTCCGAAGTAAGCAGAGAGGAATAACTTTATTGTAATTTCATAATCTTCAATTAATATATAAGTTTCAAGCAAAGAAGCAGTTTTCAAACAAAACGGCTTTAAGAACTCACAAACCTCTTGCCTGTATACGCAAAGAGGCGCGTGAAAAAAGGGGCGTGGTCGCTGCAAGGGTGGCTAGCTTTTTCCGTCTAGGGTATTAGCTTTGCTACTAAGGTAACGGGAATCAGCTCATTAATTCGTCATGCATGAAGAGCTAATGACCATGTTACTGTTTTCCCACTATTTATTTGTTTTATTTGTGGATTAGGGCTTTGTAATTTGTAGAAGTGACATCTTTCTCACTTTAATATGGTGGTAACTCATCAAATCTGGGTTTGCTTGTACTGTTGTGTTTGACTCTGAGCATATATGCCACCTACCTTAACTGTATGCGTTGTATGCTATCGATTCCTTGAATCAAGTCTTGAGAATTCAAATTGTAAGTCGTTTATGAAAAACAAACTCGTGAGGCTTGGAAAGTTAAAGAAAGACCCTGTGCACTGTTGAACTCGAACGAACTTGCATACTACAACATACAATAGCTCATAAACGAAACATGTGGTTGTATGTATCATATTACTGTATTAAGTGTTCCGAAGTTGTTCTTCTCTAACATTGTTTCTTTTTCTTTGTTGTGACTTCTAATGACTAAGATTAGCATTTTTGTTTTTATTTCAGGTTTGATTGTTATTTGGTCTGACCGTATGGGAGTATAAGCAAAGCATGAGAAACGCACCCGTAACATCAACTCCGAAACGTGACAATGTTTGGTAAAAATAATTTAGTTGAAGAATAACATTTATGTTTTACTTCCTCAGGTCATTGTATAGAACAGCTAGTGATAGATACCATGATCTAGAGCCCATCGTAACATTAGACCCTACAGGAGCTCTACTAGAGTTCGTTCCTTTTTTCTTTCTTCTCTCAATCCTCTCTTATAGTCATAATACTAAAAACAATAATAGCTTGCCTAGCACTGACGTTGGAACTCTGAATTATTTATTAAAATATCAACAAGCACAACGAGATAATAATATTTTGCTGATCTCTTTGAGAGACAGAGAGCGAGAGATTCAAAAGCTCAAATCTATAATCAAATCATTACAATCGTGAGTCACTTTAATCTCAAATAATATAGTTTTTTTAATTACAGTGAATCTGAATCCACAGATTCCCGACAAGATAAAAGTACGTCATTGAGTAGCGGCCTTCCCGTAGTTAGAGTAACTCCTCAAAAAAGAGTCAAAAACAATACATCAGCTTCATCACCTCGTAGAAGCTCAAGACGTAGTCTTTTTGAGCCATCAACTTCTCAAGTAATTCATTCAAATGTTTTTACGACTAGTTTTTGATATTTGATAGGTTAATGTAACTGAGCCGTTATCATATTCTCGCCAAATATTGAGAAATGCTGGGATTGAAAGCGATGTCCTTCTGAGTAGTTCGAACAATAGCACGCCTAGACACTTGTCTTTGTCACAGAACTTGGAAAGCATAACACCTATTAGAGGTTTGAGACACTTTTACTGGCTCGTTTCTTGAACAAACATTTAGCGACCCATAACACTACTAGAGCGTCCCCACCGGAGGTTCACAATCGCCATCGTCCTGTCCCACCCAATAATGCTAATCGCTTTTCTCCTAACGACACGTTCGTTGTTGAGAAGCTAGGTCATATTCCTGGAAATCCTCCTCCGACGGCTCGAGATGAACCTAATAGACCACCGAGTGTAAGTGTCTAATGATAGTTAGTTGCTATTCCTCATTATTTCAAGTATTACCTGACGGTCAATCGACCGGCGTTCATTAGAAGGAGTGAGCTCAGACAAAGCATCATTAAAGAAGCTTCTCGACGTCGGGAACAGATAGAAAAGAAGAGAAAGGTATACTACTCTTTCTCATTTGACCACATTACCCTTTACAGGAAGCTGTAAGGGCTTTGGCAATGGGAGTAGTCTCTTTGGATGATGTATCAGATAAGATTTTTGTTGATTCTACCAAAATTCAAGCTTTTCCAAAAACGGACATGAAGGCAATTACTCAAAGGTGATTGTTCATTCTTCTATGTAGAACGGCATCTGTTTCAGGAGAATGTCCAATACTCGAGAATACAAAGATCGCGTCATAGAAAGAGAGAAGAAGATCGAACAAGCAGCTAATCGAATTCTGAAAACGTGCTTCAGCTGGGTGAGTTCCGTGCTTCCACATTCGTATTCAATCGTTACTTTTGCAGAAGACACGCAACAGGTTATCTAACTAAGATATCATAACCATCACTACATATCCACTATGACTTTGAGTCTTTGTAAATATTTTTCATAAAGTGTATGCTCGTTCTTCCACATTTTTTATACGACGGTTCAAACCAGTATGAATTATCTCCGTTCATTTGAATTATAACCATTCACATGTCTATTCACAGATGAACATATATTCCTTAGTTGCCATTGTATTGATAAATTCTATCTTGATCAGAGCTGATCATAAAAAGAAAGATCTGAGTAGTTACACGTAAGTGACGTATGTCTTCGCTCTTTATTGAAGCTCACTATTCAGAGATGCAGATTTAGAAAAGCTTTTTGATGAGTGGGAAGAGAATGACGACGAAAAGTTGGATGAGGATGAATTGCCATCTCACAAGCAAAAACCCAAAGAAGTAGACTTAGATGCATTGAAAGCGAAAGTCAGTACATCTGTGGTTCTGCAAAAGTACTGAAAGTATTTCAGGCGAAATCTCCTGAAGACTTAGTTCGGTTGTCTAAAAAAGGTCAACCACTCATGATGTTTGTAAGTGTAACTGATCCCGAACATCCAAAGAGTAAAAATATCAGACCTTTCACTGAGCATTGGTCTGGACTCTGGCAATCTGCTCTCTATAACAACCATATAGAGTCTCAGGTTTGTTAATTATGACGTGGTCCTGATCTAGTTGAACATTTAGGTTTTCACGGTTGATGATGATAGAGTTATATTTATGTTCAAAGATGGTGCTCAAGCTTTTGAAGGCAAAGATTATTTACTCAAACAACCACATGTCAGAGAGGTGTGTCACCTTCTGATGGTTCTGCTACATTCCTCTTTTAGATTACCCTAGAAGGAAAACAACATGCAGGTCCTGCGTCCCAAGCCGATAAAACAGAGTTATAAAGAACGCCCTAAAGAGCACCACAGTCAGAGAGAAAAGCGCATGGTGGGAACCATAAAAAAAAACCTTCAATTTTAATAGTTGTACTCCAATGAAGCTCATATCATGTGAATATGGTTATAATGTTTTTGTTTTATATTGTCATTGTATTATGAATTGTACTAATCTTTCAAATAAAACTTTTATATTCATCATGATTATTGTTTACATAAACTATTCAAAAACAGGGAAATTGAAAAAAATTTGAAAACTTCAACATGCCTGCTATCAGCACCCGCGGAGATAGGACAAACGTGAGGATATCAAAGATGATGCCGGTGAGAAAAAATTGTCAAAGAAAGTTATCAAAATACTTTACAGAAATTCAAAAAACGTAATAATTCTCAAGAAGATTGATAAGAAAAAGATTATCACAATTAATAATACAATAAACATTCTATTTAATCATATGAAATTTAAATTTAAAAAAAAACATTATAACCATATTCACATGGTATAAGATTAATTGGAGTACAACTATTAAAATTAAAGGTTTTTTTTTCATGGGTCCCACCACGCGCTTTTTTCTCTCTGACTGTGGTGCTCTTTAAGGCGTTCTGAGTTAGAATAAATACTTACGTGTCAAATTTGCATTTTACATATCAAAATTGAAATCACTCGCATATCAGCCATAATAATAAAAGTTTAAATATTTGTTTTGATTTCCTCAGTACTGAGAAGACCGTTTCTTATTACGGATAATTACTTGTTGTTCTGTTCTGATCATTTCATTCTGTATGCTTAGATGGATGATGTGGAGAAATCCGCATTAGAACAAGTTGCTGCCATGTTGCAACGACCTGATCACTTGGAGAAGTTGCCTGAGTTTCGAAAACGAGCAGAGCGAAAAAAAGTAAAGATGTCAACAGTTCGAAGTAATTTCAAAAGTTTTAGGCTGCTGTGGAAGCTATGCTTCGAACTGGTGTTCAGTCTCAACTTGAAAGTATAAGAACTGCCATCGCTCATTTGCATACAGCTTCAGAAGATATTAATACAGTGGATAAAGAGTTTGGGTTCCTTCTATGCTTCCCCATATTCAAGCTCGTGTTCAGAATAAACTCTCTTCGGTCGAAATTAAAACCTTTCCCAGGACTTAAAGAGAAAATGAAAGAAGTTCGTATCGCAAATGCTCTACACAGTCAGTATGCTGCGGCAATGGATAATTTGAAACACATATTCAATATTAATCAAACTATCGCGGATACTCACGTAGCTCTTGAGCAAGGAAAGCTATTATTAGCGCATAAGCAGTGAGTTAAAGATCAAATTGTATTTTCTAAGCTCATAAATAGCATCATGGACTTGGAGCAAGCGCGAGACGAGCTACTAACAGAGGTACATAAAACAGCTGGTAATCGTGAATACGAAAAGAATGTGAGTGTTTAGAGTAAAGCTAATTAGCAACAAGTTCTTTCAGCTACTTATTACGTTTTTCATAAAGGTTGATGAATTAGTAAATACCTTGGGTAGCAACATGTGGTATGTGATTGGTCGTTCCTTGGACATGGCAAAAGGTCTGGAAACGTTTTTCTATAATGATCCAGATGAATGCAAATATTTGTTATGAACAATAGAAACAACCGACTCCTTGCTTGTCCATTTTTAAAATGAAATTCGAAGCTTTTCACGTGGACTTCACGACTGCGTCACGTGAAAGCCATGTTATTAAATGAGCCTACTTATCATTTCGCTCTGATTTTTATTTTTGAGGAAGTGAAAGCGGTCTGGGACCTCAACAGCTAGTTTCCTGTCTACGAATCGTAGAGAGAGAAGAGAGGATCGATAAGTATTATCTAGATGCGAAAGGTGCCAAAGATTTCATGCCACCCAACAGACCTAGGGAATGGAAAAAAAAAACATTTGACGTAAGAGGAAGTATTAGTTTTACATGCGAAACACACATACTCTTCCAGACTTTGGAAAAAACTGTTTGGAACAGAGTAGAAGGAAATCAACTTGAAGATGACAGAGGACATAATAAATCTTGGTTGGCAAGGTGAATAATAATTTCAGTTGTGTTCTTCTCATTACTCAAATTCAGATACCTGGAGACAATGCGAGTGGTTGTCACAACAGATTTGCTTCATGCAAGAGCGGCCATATCGTGTTTCCCACCAGATTACCAAATTTATGATCGTTTCGTACACATGTATCATAACTGCGTATGTAAGAGAGTGAGTCTGATGCCTTCCAAACATCTATACAAATAATCATATGAAGGTTCGAGAAATCGCTTCGGAAAATTTAGAGAAAAGTGAATTAGTACAACTGATGAGTTGGATACAATCATATGGGTAAGGTGTAAGTGATGACTACAGTGTAAGTATGTATGTTTAGTGGAGAAGATTTCTTAGGAAGTCGTCGGTTACAAATAGCTTCTGCTGCTCTCTTACAAGATATGCCTGTTCTGGAATACGCAACTTGGAACAAGCTATGCGATTTGTAAGATTCAAAGTGAAATGACTTTTAATAGAAACAATTCTTAGATTTATTGCAATGACAAAGAGAGACATGAAGCAATGGCTTGCAAAGATGTTGAGTGCCGAAAAGGATGTAAGGTTACACAGTCGATCTTGTTTTGAACTCTTTTCTTCAGGATTGGTATCAAAATGTTAAGCCTGACGAAGACAATTTCTCATACTTTTATACTAGTTTGCCGAATATTTTATTTGGAATGTTACGAGATACAGTTAGTACTCGATATTCGGGGTCTTAGAAGACAGAATAGGCGCAACTGTTACCGATGGGGCATAATTTGAAGCGACAGGGACATCCATAACTGTTTTTTGTTGGGATTGCTGAAAGTTCAGGGTTTTCTTGTTCGACAAATGGGATTCACTCACTCCTGACTGGTCTAGGCTTGAGATATCCTGCTGTTTTGAGATAAGTCGGAATATTTCTGCGCAAGTTATCGAATTGACGAAGATCCCTCAAAACCTAAAAGTTGTATGGCGATTGATAAGATGAAAACGATCGCTAGAGATTACCTTGAAGCTTTCAGCAGAAAAGAATAGAATAGTTAAGATGCACAAGACGGTCAACAAACGAGCCATCTGCAAGTTATAATTTCAAATGAGAGTTAATGAAATTAGTTGGAATGAAATGAGCTGCAACAAATGTAAGTAAGAAGATAGTTTAAAAGAGCATGGCTTCATCTTATGAGCTGCACCCGTGCAAGTAGAGTGGGTGTTCTTAGCAAATGAAGGGGAGGGGATAATGCTCCATTTATAAGAACACTCGGCTCTTTCGAGTGACGTAAGTTCTTCAAATAGGAAAGATGGTGTCGTTTGTTTCTAATTAGTGTAAAAGCCAATGAAAAAACTTATTTATCATTCATAATGAGCGCATTCTCTCATTCAAAATCTTTAGGTGACATTAGCTAAGGAAGTTAGTGTGGAAGTTATCCCGAGTGTCATCAATTTGACCGTTGAAGAGTTTTATGATTTTGCTACGAAATATCAAGGTCTGTGGAAATTATGAATACGCTATATCTTCATTGGCTTCGTTTAGATGCTTTTAAAGCTTATAGGGACAAATACTTTGAAGATCGGAGTCTCTTTCCAAGCTACACATCAATTATGGTTAGATATCTGAATAAATTAGGAAGCGAAGATTCAAATTATGAATATTATAGATAGCTGTAGCAAACAATTTACAAACATGTATAGAGTCTACGGAGAGATACATGCAACAGGTAAACAAACGAGTTTGTCAAGGGCTTTCCTCATGAATTGCTGCTCCTCAGGTTCGTCTATCTATGGAGAACGACGAAGGTAATAGTACCAGAAGAGGACCTGCTCGTCAACAAATCATCGACAACATTGATAAATTGAATGGCAAATGGAACGGTGCCATCAGCTTAGCGTATTTTCACCTATTTCATTAGAATGCTCCACATCATCTACTTACAGCGTGGAATTCATCGGTCAAGAGGTCTGCGAGGATTTGGCAAAATACTTGGCTGAGATTTTTTCACGCAAATGGTCATTACAGATACTTGTTTTGACTCTCATTTTAAAAATTTAGGCTTGTGGGAAGTTCTTCCTGTGAAACGATCTGCATGACCTTATCAGATTACTTTTTGGATCACAGACATCTCAGGCCGAACGCTAGAGGAGCTCTGTTGGCCGATCTTCACTTCCGAATAGTCGGCGAATATTTGCGAGCGATTGATAAAAGGTTTCCAACCATTATAAATCAGTCTAATTCTCAAATTTAAATTAATTGAAGAAGACTTACATTCGCATCTCATGAGGAACGATTAGCCTGTGGAGAAAGGTTACAGAAAGATATTGAAAAGATTGACGAAGTGTTCACATCCTGCACAGAGAGCGAAGACTTAGTAAATCAGGTGAGCAAGGGAAGAAAACAAAAGTTGTTCATGATCTTTGTAGTTCACATTATTAACTCCTGTATTGCACCACATGACAGGAATTATAACGTTGACTGACAAAGGAATGCTCTCTTTGGAAGCTACCTCGTTCGGAAGGAAGTATCCCAACTTCCCCGTAGATCTTCTAGCATCTCTAATAGCAACAAGAGAAGATATGTCGAGAGTGGAAGCAAAGTGAGTTTACAAATCGATTCACGCGAATTCTATTGGAATTCCAGATCACTGGCCGAAGAAGTCATGTCTCATGTCCAATTTCATCCCAAAGATGAAATTTTCGCTCAACTGTTCGCTTCAGCCCAGTCATCGGAATCCTCCTGGAAACCATCCATCAATGTTGCCAACTTCCTTCCCTCCTTTGTCAAACTTGAGAGTGGGAGCAAATAGAATCTTAATTTATTAAAAAAGAGAGTGAAAAAAGAAAAAAAGGGGAGAATAGTCAAGAAGCTTTGTACACATTATGACTGTGATAAATAATTAAATTAATATTCCGAATCGTTTGGCTTTAAGTAAAGTTACTTTAAAATACTTCGTCATTGTTGAAAACATAATATAATATTGATAGTTTTGGATGGTAGACGCAAAAAAAGACGAGCAGCAGTTGCCTTCCACAAAAGGAGTTGCTCCTCAAAAAGGTTCTGGAAGAAGAGAGTATCGCGTCTTTCGACGGAGACCAACGAAGGCAAATGGTTTGGAAAGATCATCATTAGTAGAAATTTGCATATTTCATTTAAGTTCTGACTGAAAGTTCAGAACAAGTACCAGAAAAAGCGGTTTTGTTAGGAGGAGAGAAAGAGCCAAAGAAAAGGAAACCTAGGTTGTGTCGTTATTTCAACGCTCCAGGTGGTTGTCTCAAAGGAAATGATTGCCAATACAAACATAGAGTGATGAAGGTTTTTTGAGAAGTTAAAACGAACACGCAAAGAGTCCAAGAATTTCAGCCAATTATAGTTCCGTCGGTTAAAATGGAAGAAGTTGATGCAAAAAATATGGAAGAAATCAACGCGAGAGTTGTGTTACCTCCATCTACGAGTGGAAGTTGCAGACCTGTCATTCCTCAGAAGAGACGAGTTCCCTTAGTACGTCGAAAATGAACAGCTATGAGCTACAACAGTTTAATTGAAGAGCTCTAAAGGGACTGATGCTCAGAAAGCTCTATTGGATCTAGATGTAACATATTTCAAGACTAGGTCTGCTACCTCTCAACGTATTCTGTAAATCATTCGTTTGAGATATCGAAATGCTAAAATTGAAAAAAGGAACGATGAATCTGTTCAAATCGACTTTCGTTATGACATAACTGAGCCGGATTGGGTAATGTTACACTAATTAACTGCATGTTCATATGAAGAGGATTGTTTAGGTTTTTGACATTCGATCTCTTCGAATTAGACTTGTTCTCAGTAAGGCTCACCCGCTCGAACCCTTAAGTTTCTCACTGCTCGAGAAGGAAAATAGTGGGCTGCCTGAAATTCTGAGAAAACATATCCAAGAAACAGTTTCTGAGAACATAAAAGTGACTTGGTCAATTAATACTTCTTACGAAAGGAGACAAACTTCAGGATACATTTGATGCCTTCTCTTCAAAGGACGCTTTTGAGACTTTTGGAAAACTGATCTTCAGGTTCATCGATCGAAATGTTTTGAAGATGTTTGTTGATGGTCTTACGAAGCTCAAACTGCATAGAGAGGTCAGATATTCTCAGAATTGTTACTGAAGACACTTTTATAATAGGCAGAAGCGGCGGGAATCTCTCTAGTTCTTCCCAAAGGAGCTAATCAAAACAGCAGTTCTCAAGGCTCTAATCATTATGAAGAGGGGGAGGAGGGGGAGGAAGAAGACGAAGAAGATGATGATGAAGAAGATGAAGAGGAGGAGGAGAGTGAAGGAGACGAACATGACGAGAATGATGAAAACCTAAAGGTTTGTTAATCAACTTACAAATGATCCTTATTAGGTCGTGAGCTATTCCGAATGCAACCGGTTCACCACTCACTATTAATGCAAATGAAATAAATGAATGTAAATTTCGAACAGAAGGACCAGCGGGGAATTAATGCGAATGCGAACATCAGCTTAAGTGCCACGCCATCCGAATTACCTATCGAAGTTGTCCTTATTTGGAATGACAAGAGGTGGATTTCGTGTTGATATATCTGTTTCAAGAAAGTGTTTTAGTCAGAACATTGCGAGTATTGTACCGAAGAAACTCCGTATCTCAAGTAATTGTTTCCGATGTAAGTTGAACTCGATACACGATGTGGAATGCCGTGGTTCTGGCAAAACTTGGTGTTGCGAGAAATGCTCTACATTCCTAAGTCTAAAGTTTGTGTGCTAAGATGAGAACCAAGATATCGGAAAGACAAAATTGAAGACTGGTTCCGCAAATAGTTCATGAGCAATCAAATGTGATAGCTCGAATGGAAGCTCGTGGATGCATCCAATTCGATTGTATTCTCAAGGACAGCAAAATGGATTATACCTGCTTTTTCTGCAACAAAGAAGATACAGTCCAAGTCCTTTTGTCCTTTCAGATACATTTCTGATTGTGTTATAGAGTGTTTCCTTTGGAGAAGCTCATAAATCTTGGTGTCGACAGTGCCATACAAGTTGCGAGTTTACCATTTCTGCTATAAGATTCAGAGGAGACTTCACATTATGCACACAGGAGGTGAAATCGCAGACGAAACTTCGTCGTCCCAAGAAAACGGTTTCTAGCTTCAATGATCAATTCATTCATTAGATTTTAGAAAACAGATGTGGGAGTTGCCGTCACCCCAGGGCTGTCTCTACCCCAATTGGGAACATGCAAGCATTATAAGAAGAGCTATAGATGGTTTAGGTTTGCTCTGAACATGTAATCAGCAAAGCTTTATTCTATTCAAGATTCCCTTGTTGTGGTCGAACATTCCCGTGCGACGTTTGTCATGAAGAGGCCGGATTAGGTCATGAAATGAAAGTCGCCAACCGTATGATCTGTGGCCATTGCTCAAATGAACAGGTGAGAAAAAGTGAATTCAGTCCGAACAACTGTTTCTAGCCATTCCAAAAAGATAAACCGTGCTCCAGTTGTAATTCTGCAACGACGAGAAAGAAATCTCAGTTTTGGGAAGGTGGTAAGGGTTGTAGAAATCAGTTGTTGATGAGCAAGTGCGTCTGTTCATGTTACTCAATTGTAATTCGTTTGTTTGATAGGAATGATGGACACAAATTCAATGGAAGTAGGAAGAAATCTGTGTCGAAAGCTAAAGCAGAAACCTTAGTGACTAAGAACAAGAAATGATTTGTCTTTTTGACTGATTTTAATGAAACATTTCTCTTGCGGACACTCACATATATTAGCTGTGGTTTATTAAGAAGTTTCGACTACAATATTTGAATTATTAAGTTATCAATGAGATTGGTTGCATTCTCCTTAGAAGGATGTAATCCAGGCAGCATTTTTTTCAGGTGAAACAAGTTCATCTTCCGTTTTGGAGACGAACTTTGGGAGCCGCGATCGGACTGATGATAGTTCACGACGATGTTCCTTGGGTTCAATCAATCTTTCACTATAAATTTCAGTTTTCTCAAGCACGACGGTTTCATATTACCTATTGTTTTCTTCAGACTTATATTCAAATCTTGTCTTTGATCTTACTGGAGCGGAGGTTGTGGTGATACCAAGTAATCGTTGGAATGAAGGGGGCATAGTGAAACTTGGAAGTGTTGGCATTGGAGCCAGAGTGGGGAGAGTAGGTAGATTGGCTAAATTAACTGTCGGCAACTCTAGCGGTCTCATAGCAGCCATTGGAACTAGGCCTAATGGTCTTGGGGACAGAGGTCTTCTGGCAACTCGGACAGTAGGTTTCACCATTTGTAGAGGCACTGAGTGAGTGTTGGGAGCTCTCCGAACACCAGTGGAAGCCCTGACCAAACCTTTCGCATGAGGGACGGAGCTGAAGGCTCTCTCCTGAGTAGGAATCACAGGTGCTCTTAACATTACAAACATTCATACTTCACTGAGTTATGTTTACCTCCTAATGTTAGACTCTGATTTGCGGAATCCGTGGGCATGTGGAACAATTTCTTCATTTGCAGTTACTAAACTTATGCTTTCAGAGAACCATTGAAAGGAAACACACCTGATCCAATGAAAAGTAAAACGAGAACAATAATCATGACCTGATTCAGAATCTTCTTATCTAAAATTACACGGGATAGAATAGAAGCGACAATGAAACCCGAATGACTACTACAGTCCCTCCCCTTTCTATTCCACAACCTGACTAATGAGAGTTCGGATTTTCTCTTACGATCAAGAAATATCTCTTCTTCTCTGGGAGAAAGGAATTGATTGATGAAGAGTTTCGACATGGTGATAAGGTCAACGAAATGGAAACGGGGTCAAAGTTTTGCTTTTTTTCTCATTCTAACTCTCACTTCTTTACTCTCGCTTTGCTCGCAAGACATAGTCACCAAAAGCAATTACTGCTGCGTAGGGAAATCCAATTGAAAACACCTATTGTTATTGTTTTTCGGTTTGTCCGCAGTCATATTATTTCAGTCCTCCTCGTCTTATGCTATTCGTTGCCTACGCAGCTTTGGATCCGAGTCTGAGGTTGGAACTGTTGATTGATCTGAAAAGAGAGGCAGTTTTTGATCAGTTTGACGAAATTCTCGTTCAAATTTGCAATTGTGCACGACCGCTTCACACATAAAACGCGTGTTGAGGAATGAAACTGTCGTGAGCCAGGGCACGACCGTTCAGGCTTCCATCGAAATGCAAAATGAAGTTGACTCTTTTTCATTTTCTTCGCGTAGAGAAAAAATGCGCGGTGTCTTCCTGCAAACTTTAGAATGTCAGAACTTTCTTGAATTCCAGCGGATCTTCATAATTTTTGAAATTTTTATATTTTTTAAAACTATTTAAAGATTGGGAAAGAAGAGAGATGAAGAGAGATGAAGAGAGAAAGGAAAGAAAGTGAAGAACGACAAACAAGGTTCATCCGTAGGACGAAGAGATGAGAAGCCTGCCACTGCTTGAACCTGAAAATAAAATTAGAAAAACAAATAAAAGCATAATTTTTACGTGGAAGGGGGACGTTTACACTCGACCTATACTCACGCCATGTGCTGAGTATAGGCCTGGTAAAGCTATGAACCCCAAACATAGCGGC